GAGAGAAAGGTACAAGAGACAGAGAGAGAGAGAGAGAGAGAGAGAATGGGAAAAGACAAAATATAGTGATTGGTGATTAAAGAGGGAGAGAGAGAGAAAGGTACAAGAGACAGAGAGAGAGAGAGAGAGAGAGAATGGGAAAAGACAAAATATAGTGATTGGTGATTAAAGAGGGAGAGAGAGAGAAAGGTACAAGAGACAGAGAGAGAGAGAGAGAGAGAGAGAATGGGAAAAGACAAAATATAGTGATTGGTGATTAAAGAGGGAGAGAGAGAGAAAGGTACAAGAGACAGAGAGAGAGAGAGAGAGAGAGAGAGAGAGAGAGAATGGGAAAAGACAAAATATAGTGATTGGTGATTAAAGAGGGAGAGAGAGAGAAAGGTACAAGAGACAGAGAGAGAGAGAGAGAGAGAGAGAGAGAGAGAGAGAGAGAATGGGAAAAGACAAAATATAGTGATTGGTGATTAAAGAGGGAGAGAGAGAGAAAGGTACAAGAGACAGAGAGAGAGAGAGAGAGAGAGAGAATGGGAAAAGACAAAATATAGTGATTGGTGATTAAAGAGGGTTAGAGGAGAAAGACAGGCAGAGAGAGAGAGAGTGGGAAAGAAAGAAAGAGAGAGAGAGAGAGAGAGAGGAAGAGAGAGAAAGAGAGAGAAAGAGAGAGAAAGAGAAGGATATTCCATGGAAATCACAGGCATGACAGGATCCGCATTACGTTTTTTTTTATTGGAAAAGAAGTTCGTCGAACATGCGAACTTATTTTTCTACGATTTTCTTTCTGGTGTTCCCTTTTCAGATGTTCTCTATCCGTCATTGTTATTATGTGAGAATGAAATAAATATGAATGCCCAATTCATCAAAGTAGTTCTAATTCACTGATGGCCCAAGCTCGACAATATACACGAGGTTATGGTTTGTTGACTTCATGCTCCTTAACCCTCAACGTATAGAATGCCAAGCATTTTTTTGTTAAGGGTAAAGACCAGTATTGGAAACGCCCTAATTTAAAAAAAAAAATGAAATGAAAGCTCTTATTACCAATCATGTAAAAGAATATGTTTTGAATAATACATGATGATACAAATTTTGCCGGGAAACCGCCTACTAATTGATATATTTGGTAAATTAGTTTATCTCTCACAGTGTGAGAGATAAAAAAAAAACGCACGTGTCGCGCTCCTATGCGTAGTCCCATTTTCATCTTTCTGTGTACAGTGCTTGTAACTTTATGAATACTGGGCCAAATTTCTTATCATTTGATGATTCCAGAACCTTGCAGTACATCTATGCTAGATGATCAACCTTTTCTGATCGATTTCACAACGTTTCTTTCACAATGCAATCGCATAGCCATAGCTGGTCTTTATCTTTAAGGTTGACTTTTTATATTCTAGCCATGCGAAACATTTGTCTCAGAAGGGTCTCTCCTGTTTAGAAGTCCCATAATGGTATACTATATGTTATATACTTTGAATAGTGCCCAAGGAAGAAGACACTAGGATTAAAGCAGAAATTTATACACGACAAACGGGAGAGTTGTCCGTGACTACGTCACAATCCACGTATATGTTGATGTTAATATTTCTAACATTCATAATTCTCTTATTATTGACCCGATTTTTTTGTCAGACCTTTACCATTCTGTTTCTCTCATTTTTCTGCTTACAAAAAGTAACATACTACGAAGGTCGGTTCGCCCTCATAAAAAAGGGTACAGTCAGGCAGACGCAAACAATGGCAGAGGTTTCCATGGTACCAACCAAGCCATTCAGTCTCGCATTGGGAATGTCTGTTATTCATCTCGCCGTGTTCATCGAAGGAATTGAAGAAAGGAAGAATAAATGTTTGTTGACGGGTTTTGAATTGTTTGAAAAGTAAACGTCCCATTAGTTTCTCAGCCAAAGTCCTGAGTTTATAACACGTTTTAGCCATCAATCACGACGGCGTCTATTCATCCTATTCACATCGACAGAAATGAATAAAGGAAAAATGAATGTTTATTGTCGGGTTTTGAATTGTTTGAAAAGTAAACGTCCCACATACGTGAGCTGCTCTGTCGATCTCATGCGACGTGCACCTTCATATCTGTAGTTGGCACGAAAAACTGCTCCACGCGTGTGTCGACTTTTCAGGCAATCTACAGGTCTAGATTGCCTGAAAAGTCGACACACGCGATAGTCTTGGACTATATTCCGCGCGTTTCGAGGGTCGACCGATTTTGGGTCTGTTTTGTGGGCATTGGGGCCCGTTTCTCTAAACCGTCATAAGTCTAACTTCTTGACGAACCCATTAAAACGCGTGTTATTGTATAACACACGTTTCAATTGGATAGTCAAGAAATTAGACTTATGACGGTTCTGAGAAATGGGCCCCCTGTGGCTAAACTCGACAGATACGGTCAGACTGACAACCTGTTGGTCAATGAGTTAGACGGTCTGAGTACCTTTGAGGGGCCAAGATGTTTTTGTTTGTGTGTGGAGGGGGGGGGGGGGGGGTGTTGACTGTTTCGGGACAGGTTCCCATACTATACCATGCACCTGAACTATTTGAAAAGTAGAACATTAATTTGTTCGACTGTACAAATATCATGATTGTGAGTCCCTGTGGAATGGATGTCTGTTCATCCAGACGATACCTTTATAAAAGACATAGCCTTTATGATGTACTTAGCGGTCATAATGTAATTGATTCTATGAATGCTCTCAGTATCCGTCATACCACCTCAGACTACCCCCTAGAGAGCATGCTCGTTATGTGAAGAGCCGCAGTGTATATATAGAGATCGTCATAACCACGTGGTTAACATGATCAGACAGAATTTGTTATACTGTTCTTGACTTAAGAGATCTTAATAATGTTATTTCTATTTAAAAGTATAGACCAGTTTTGGAAACGCCCCCCTCTCTCTCAACAAAAAATGGAAGCTCTTATTACCAATCATGTGAATGAATATGTTTTGACTAATGCGTGATGATACAAGTTTTGCCGGGACACCGCCTACTAATTTTTATATGGTACATTATCATATTGATCGGGCATGGATAGATATCGCGACTGCACTTCAATATTGAACATTTGGGCATATTTTACTGTTTTTTGCGAAATTAGTATTGCCATTTAAACCTCTGAAGGCAATATTTAAACGGCAATATTAAAACATTATTGAATGGATATTTTGCAGCCAAAACCATTGAACCGCAATTTTACCACTACCGGTCTATATCTTTAAGTTGTTGTTCTCTAATATTTAATAGTTTATCTTGTTTATGCTTATATTTTGTGATTTTTACTGTGAATATTTTATATCTTTAAATCAAGAAATAATCAATACTGACCTAGTAAATAAGACCCAATTGTTAATGAGTTTTTTAGTCTTTCATTGGTCATCTTGTCAAGTTATTATTGTTTTATTTTCCTTTAGTTTATTATATCATCTTACTCTTTGCATTTATGTGAAATTTAACTTGACTAATAGATGAAAGTGAAATTTCAATATAAAATCGTACACCTGCAGAAGAGGTGAAAGGTGAAAACTAAAAACAGTTTTCCTCATGTTCTTTTTTATGTTCGCCTGAAGAATTTCATATAGAACGTTTGTCTCTGAAAAGAATCGCACTTGAAATGCCGTTTTCGGTACGTGACAAGTGACAAGAAACAGATGAAGTGTTATACCAAACATTAATGTCATTGTCCCGCATACCAATTTCTGTGTGCTGTGCACGTGTTCTTCAACCATTCCTTTATTTTGATTATTCCAAAACAGTACACTGGTATATGCTTAAACAAAATAATCTTTATGTCGCGTAGACCTAGGCCTATCATTGTTTCCAAATTGCCTCCAGGCAGTTTCTTTCATGAACCAATCCCTGATCGGAACTCAAGTTTATTTTTAAAATCATTTTAGTGAGGGAATAAATCTTTTTTTCTGTCTGCTTTACTGACAAAATTGAGAATAAAACCTACAATTGATGAATGTCTTCAATCGTCTCGAAATTATTTGAGTGAAATGTATCTCACTGTTATCTGATTAGTGTATTAACTTTGTTGTCATTGTGTCGGTTTTTAATTAATTCTGAACAATCCTGCAATTTCTTGATTTTTTTTTTAAAAGGGGACGACTTGTGTGCCAGTTTAGGTAGATATGTGCGCTATACAAATATAAAACTCTATTCAACTCATAAAAATCGTCGGATCAAAATGTGACTAAACACACACATACAACTTGATGGAACGCAAGCCATGTGTAATTCTTCTCAGCATCAGTCATGCTACAAGCTTGATCAGGTTCTTGTAAACACAAACAAAGGTTTTATATGTCTCGGATTGACACCTCTAACGACGAGAAGAAAGGAAACTGACCACGGGTCTTCATGGGGTGTGTTTGGAAATCTAAATCGACCGATTCATGGTCTCAGCTGCATGGACCTACTATGCTCTCAGACTCAGACACAACTTCTTTTCTGAACTTACCGCACGGCGTGCATATCAATAGGTTTTCTCTTTTTTAACGACAGGGAATTTCTTTAGTAAAAGTCGCTTCAAGCAGTAAAGCGAACCCTTTCATAGTACTAAATAGCATAGTTGGTCAGTCAAATGGTCGCTTTGTAAGAGAAATTTCCTTTTGGTACGGCCTTATTGATTGGCGGGAAGTAGCCTTGTTTACTCACAATATCCAAGGAAACAGCCAATAGGCATTGTGCTTTCAAGCATGGCACGTGCGAGAGTTACGACAATTGGATTAAGCAAGCACTCCAGATCTTTAGGAGATGACAATAGCGGCGCGGTGGAGACTGGTATCTCTTCTCGCATACATTACACACTACATTGAAGTGGTTAACCGATGCGTGGAGTGGCAATGAAGGGAAACCAGTCCAAACTAACTGGATGTAATGCAGGCCATGGCGGACTGTTTGGCGGGTTGACAACGGTTGCCAAGGACGTACTGTTTTCTCAAGTCTCTACGAATAACACACACCAACAACGCTGTTTGGTATAATGACCTACAAATCCGAGGTTCATTCTCATACTCGCAATTTCAGCACGATTGTACATCACGTCTTGTTATCTTATCTCTCTATCTCTGAGACTTGGGCCAAACACATGGTCATTGGATATTTGTAATACAGCATTCATATCGGGATATACTACTTGGTGTTATCACTGAGAGTTATTATTCTAGTTTATCCTACGGTAATATTATAAAGGTGAAACTATAGCTTCATCGCTGCCAGTGATACTTTGATATCATCAACCATTACCGACTATTAGACGACCATTGTTGGATTCTTACACCATTCGTCGACTGGGAACTGGTTTTTACTCAAGGTAAGTCTGTCGGTTATTTGACTTATTTCATAGTCGGAGGAATTCAATAAATGCTCTGTTTTATAATTAAATGTTAGATAAAAAAGTTTTTTTCTACAAGACATGTGTTGGATGTTCTTCATGGTTAGTTAACCGGACAGATCAAATCGATAAGAGTAACATATTGAATCGGAGGCCATAGATTTAGGGGCGGTGCCCTTTTTCGAAAGAAATTATTTCATTCTCTTAGTTTTATAATTTCTTCAGTTGAATACACTTTCTGGAGTTCATCATTTACTATGAGTATATATATATATATATATATACAACAATCTTTTTACGTTTCCTTAAGTTTTAATGAGGTTTTATGATGTAAATAAGCATATAGACATTAACCGTCTGTCATTCCATATTTACTTTTTGTTATTAGATTTTACAAACTCAAGCTCCATTTGTGTGCTATATTTCTTATTATTCCTGCGTACTTTTGCACAGCAAATGATAGAATTTATCTAATGCAGACACATCATTTTAATTATATATCCTTTATGCGTGTTTGAATAATGTTTATGTTGTTGATATATACATCATTGTTATTTTGGTACTTCTAATAAGTTGTTTAAATGATCTAGGTATTTATCTATTCGGTCGGAGTCTCTATATGATAAATCATAAACAAAGATAATGTTGTACTGTTGATAAACTGCTTAATGTCCCCAGTTGGCAGGTGAATTAACTGACACATTTCCAATGCCGTTACAAGTATTGCTGTGCCATTACGTTTCTAGTGTACACTCTGCTAGTAATCAAGGCATTCAAGATATAAGAAAGAATCATCGCTCGTTGTATATAAATATTATCATTAATACTTATACTCATTTAGCACGAGTTGTTATGGTATAACAACACTTTTAATGTTTCCTGTTCTGGTCCACGTGTGGACACAAATCCAAATTATCCAATGGTTATAAACATGGAACAAAAGGCGGACCGGTGCTCCATACTGTATCCCCATGCCGACACCCTATAAACACGCACTACTCCGTATTCATTGCATAGCATTGTGCACTCTCTGTGTTACTCACTGCAGTTCTCTGCGTGTTTTGAAGTAAAGGGGTATTATAAAAGATTGCCTCGTCCTTAATCAACTCTCTAGAAGTGTTTGAAAATTACAGGAGTGATAATCCAGTATTTTAGGAGTCATATCAGGATCACTTACATTTCGTTTTTGGGTAGAAATGAAAACTCACAAAGTGGAATCCACTCTGGATTTGTACGTGTAATTCTAGCCCACACTTTGTACCTTGAAGTTGAAGTCTGAACAAAGTGACTCCTAATATGATTTATGAAAGAATGGATTTTCATGCTTTCTTATTAAGAGAAATTTAAAAAAGTGGAATACCGCTAATATCCTGATTCACTGATAGTTTGTGTCCGCCGGGCCCGTTGCTACAGGGATTGCGAAAGAGCCACCGCCCATATGACTCATTCCTGTATAATAGTTGTTTCTCTCTCCTATTCTTCAAATTGCGTTCTTCTTCATCAGGAGAAGGTTTCTTGAGGTTAATCAGTGGTTTGTAATGTATATCATATTTACGGATTATATTTATTTGATTTGCCAGCACAGCAACAAAATGTCTCATTCAGAGTTTTATTCAGAATTCTATTATTATTACCATCATTACCATAGCAATTATTTGTTTGTATTTTTTATCATCACTACCATCATCATCATCATCATCATCATAAAGTGAATAACTGAAAAAATGAAAATAATTTAATTCAAAGCTACGCGACTAAACATAACTTGGTTATAGAAACATATATTGGTTAACTTTGTCGTTTAAATGTCGTGTGTGTATATGCAAAGAAAACCTTCGACTCCAATTTTATTACGGAAAAAAGAGCTTATTACATATAGCAGTGTATACTAAATGACTAAATGCAATTAGCATATCATTATAGCCCCATCAATAATACAGGATTCGACGCATATACAAATTGACCATATCGAGCCAATGAGGCATGATTTGTTCGATCATATTAATTTTTCCTCCGTCCTTCCATAATCCTGAAGTATTGCTAGATTAGGCTTCTGCCAATTTTGGGAAAATAACAGAAAGAAAAGATTCCGTATCAATATTATTAATTGTTTCGTGCATTTTGTGCCATTAAAACCAAGCAATAACAATATTTTGAAAGGTGAACGCCATTGAACTTTTAAATACGATTACACAGTTGAAACTAAAAATAGTTGGATTAATTGTTGAATTAGCCGAGACTAATTATAACGGGTGTCTTTGTGTCAGACTATGCCTCAATACTGGTTCGATGATCCTACCAACGCGTTGCTATGGTAACCCATCCAAAGCATTATTTCTCTCTAGGGACGATACTGGTATATTATGGATCACACCTCAGCATTGTATCGGAAAGTCGATGGCGGGGCCTTGAACATAATTAAAAATGGACAGCATACATATATGAATTTAGAATATTTGATATAGATATATGCACGGGTATATGCTAGTTTTTTGTTATTGGTTGGCTCTGGTACAAACAATTTTGTTGTCCATATCCGTTTTTGTTCTCGATTTTTAAATGCGGTTATTGATCTGAGGAATTTGTGGTTTTGATCGTATATCCTAAGGCGTATACTCCCTTTTATGTGAATGTAAGCATGATGCATCGTATCCTTCATGTAGGCAGTAGATCAATTATATCACAATGACTTCTAAGCGTCTATCTTCCAATTCTTTTTCTCTACAGTTTTCTGATTGGATTCATCACCGTCGACAATGATGACGCGGTTGCCATGGTTACGAGGGATAGCGGTGGTATCCATGATACTCCTCTCCATTAATCAAGGTAAGTGTATTCCACCTCGTCCTATTTCAATGAAAAAACACGATTTAAATGAAAATGTAATAAGTCTCCAAATATATTGCTTCACTAATGAATGATTAAGCAAATTTAGCAAATGCAACACAGGGTTTATATGCAGTCGGATTTACCTTAGTGATCAACTTTGGTCCTTTAGTTTCCGTTTATTTTGTCCGATTTCGGCTTTCTCTTCATTGTCATGGCTTAATTTGACGATTTCAAAACAAACGGTTTTATTATGTTTCATTAACTTCCTTCTAACAACGGTTCTGAGCGTTTTGCATTGCAATTATTATTACCCTGGTATTTGGATTCCATTGCTAATCCGCACATGCTAATGCACACTCTCCGCTCCCTGGGGAGTCATATTCCGGTCAGGCGCCATTTAAATTTAAAATTGTTATAACTCTTGTTTTGGTTGTTGTCTTAGGTTCTGCACAGCAAGCCTTCCAGATCCAGCCCGACCCCACATACGAGCGTGTTATCGGTGAATCGGTTATCCTCCTCTGCTCGGTAACCGGCAAGGAAGGAGCTCTGACTTGGGTTAAAGACAGTGCTACGGCCATCTCAGCAGATCGAGTCATCGTCGGATCTGGTGATTATGAGATCACAGGAGATGACGCAAGCGGGAGCTATAATCTCCTCATCATGAATCTGACTGAGAGTGATTCTGGGAGCTACATGTGCAGGGTGTCAGCAGCAGGATCAAGCTCTGCTCTGAGCTCATCAGCAGCTCAACTCACCGTCTCACGTAAGTCGGAATCTTTGATGGCGATTTCATCATGGACCTAAGAACATTTATCAATCCAAGTTTTATGCCTCAGTCTCAGTGCGAACTGACTCTAAGCTGATTCCAAACCGACTGGTCATAAATCAAAAACAAGTTTAATTTTAATTAATTTTGGTACAAAAAATAGACTTTTATTATTTGAAGTTTAATCTACTTTGGAAACACGTTAATAGCTCATGATAACCATGTGTCCAACAAGTGTCATGCAATTAACGATAATGTTTTGTATTTTTCATTTTGTATTTCACAGCGATTCCAGTCCAGGCATTCAGCACTGGACCCAGCGACACTCCGGCCCTTACCGGTAACTCCGCCACTCTTCTATGCGTCATCGAAAACAAAGAGGGCACCGTCGAGTGGCTTAAAGACGGCTCCGTCATCAGCGAGGACTCCGCGATCACCGACACCTCTCTCACTCGTTACAGCATCATCGGTACGGCGTCGAACGGCGAGTTTAACCTCCAGATCGTTACTCTTCAAGAAAGCGATATGGGGACGTACAGCTGCCGCGTGAGTGCTGCAGGGGACAGCGACGCCATTGCTTCAGGAAACGCCGAGCTGACTGTTCGAGATGCAAGTGAAGTCCAGAGCATTGTGATCCCACCGTCTGATGTGACAGCTGTAGTTGGTACATCGGCTACCATGGTATGCTACGTGTCGGCTCTATCAGGGTCTGTGCTCTGGATTAAAGATGGCGTCCAGATCAGCAGGAATAGGGAACTAGTCAACGGAGATGCAAGGTAAGCATTCTATCAACCTCCAGTTTAAACACCTTAACGGCGTCTTTTGGAGGAATCCTACCAAGTACCAAGTAGCAGTCCACCATGTCCACATACATGTATACCATACCGTAGAGGGATTACGATGCGACCGACAAGGGGTACATATTAACAGGCTTCAGATCACAAACCAACCGGTCTTTAAGCCTTAGTATTCAGAGGTTCATTTTGGGAAACCCCTAATTCCCAATGGCCAGGTTGTTAATAAAGAGTATGGTTAACATCTACGATGATATAATATTACTTGTTTGTTTATGATTGTAGAGATGGAAACAATTTATTTTTGAGAGATAACGTTGTTTCCCTCTTCTGTTGTTTTCAGCGGTCGTCTGTCTATCCAAGGCACCAATGAGGAGGGCAAATATGAACTGTACATCAGTAGAGTGGAAGAGAATGACCAGGCCATCTATTTCTGTGTCCTCTCACAGTCGGAGGTAGATTCCCCCGTGTCTTCATCGCCTGCAACCCTCACAGTGGAAGGTATGTATCATAATGTCCAAACTTAACCAGTCTAGAACAAATCATTCAAGTCATGCCTCCAAACTTACCTATTTAAGGATCAAGCGCCTTTGAATCCTTGGTTAAAATAACGACATCTAAATGTTGCGAATCATCATCATCATCACCACACTAATCACACTTTCATGGCACTTAATACTTCGTTTTTAAGCGCTTTACTTCGTAAATATCATTACCCCGGTCGTATATATAATACATGTTTATGAACTTATAACACGCATATACCCATGATAGATCAAGGCGTAACAAGACTACTTTGACAGATGACTTATCTATGTAAAAAATATGCAACCTTATATTCATTTCTTTCCTTCTCATTTCCCCCTCTTTAGCTGCTATTGAGCCAAACACTATGTCTCCTGAATGTTCCTTGACGCCCGCTTCAATCCTGAGCGAGGGAGACACCGTCACAATCACGTGCGAGTCATCAGGGGGAGCCCCCCAGCCCACACTGACCTGGTCAAACGATCTCGACGCTAACACCTTCTTCGGGAACCAAACCGAAGATGATTCCAGCGCGACCAACTCGGTCACTTTGGTATTGACCACGGAGCTCAGCGGCGCCGTCTATACATGCAGGTCTACTCATCCAGCTTATACCGAGCCAAAGGAATGCTCACTTCCGGCACTCCAATTTGCTCGTAAGTTATCAACCCATCAATCAATCATTTAGTTAATCTTTTTCAGTTATTGGAACCATCAACTAAATAAGCATTCCCTTAAATGTTTCTACTCATGATGTATGAACAGGATCGCAAAGCCTAATTATTATGTTTCCCTATGGAAATCATGTTCGCATTACGTGATAATTAGCACGTTTGTACATTTAATAGGAGACGCGAAAGCATATAGAAATTTAAGTCGGTTTATTTGTTTGAAAGTCTTCTCGATTGTGTGTTATGAATTACTTTCAAAATATATAATTCTTTTGATTTATTTTTGTCCTTTCCAGTGATTGCTACCATCAATGTTACTACTGATACAAGCCGACTTACCATCGAGGAAGACAAACCTGGTGAGATCATATGCAGTGCTGTAGGTGACCCAGTGGTCCTGGGGTACAGATGGTACTATAACGGAGCAGAGATCGGAAATGATGATGGAAGGTTAGTAACAACACTTTCGTCTCTTCACTGAATCGGGGGTGCTCTGACATCGGGAAATTATTTCACGTTGATTCCGGGTATTTTGAAAAACACTTTTATCAATAAACAACAACAATATGTACTCCTCCAAATAACAGGGAGCTCTGAGTAAATAATTTAAAATATGTATCATTCCGTTGCTATGTATATATTATCATGTAAGCCATCTCGAAGCGCTAACACTGCAATGTTTCTATAACGAATGTTCTGATTGGTTCTCTGTTCAGGTTTGTCATTGAAACGACCAATGGAAAGGATTCATCTACGCTGACCATAGGAAGTGCGACACTCAGTATGGATGACGCTACCGTGCAGTGTGAGGCATTCAACCGTATTGATCAAAGACGTACAAACATTGTATTAACTATTAAAGGTATGTACCCTATGTTACAAGTGTGATTTACACTATAACTTGTAGCTCTAATATATAAACAAAATGCAAGTTAATATAATCATTATGTTTAATAAGCATGGCTATTAACTTTTAGATACCAGAAACAAGTGATTTTTTACTTTTGGGCGAGCGAATCAATGAGCAGATTGTGGCGTTTTGTCATCTCTGTGAGTGCTGTAAGAAGGGATTTTTGTGTGAGTTTCAATATGAATCTAAGCGAATCATTGCCATGCAGATCATGCATCAATTCTGTTTGCTTCCTCTGATTAAAATAATATTTTCTTTTGATATTTAGGCAAAATGCAATTCATTTGTTGAAGATTTAATACGCTAACTTTGTTTAAATAATGTCTCTCTTTTACAGAGGATAATTTGACGACCTATGTGCTGGCTGCCCTTGGTCTGATTGCTACTATCATCTTTGTGGCGCTTGTCATTGGATTCATCGTGTGGGTGTGCCATAGGATGAACAAGAGGAACAGAACAAGTAAGTTATCTTAACTCCCAAGTTAAGGGACAAGAGTGGTGCCATAGATTCTATGCTATGTCAACAGTTTGCAGACAGTCATAGGGATTCGAACTAAGTAAGATTGTGGGGAAAGTTAACATACCTCTCCTGAAAGGATTTTTCTTAAAGAAAAGCTGTATCCAGTTTGGCAGTGTCGGGATATGTATTTGAATAACATGGAGTTTGTTGATATGCATGATATAGGACAATGTCCTAAAAACCTTAGACCTACTCACAATCAAACCCTCGACAGCCCTTCACTTTGATAAGTACAGTCAGTTGATTTTGTTTAAACAAAACTGTAGTTTCTTTTCAACTAAAGGAGGATTTTACATGAAATGTATATATGTTTTTCCTTGAGACGATGGCAAACTTATAATGTGTCTATGTATTTCTGGTTGTTCCTTCTAGTTCACCCTGATGCTGAAGCTGATGGCATGACCAAACAGATCCCCAACAAGAACTTCTTCATTGGAGCGACTCACATGGACAGCATGCAGAACGGTGGCATCACGATGGATGCTGTGGACGAGAAGAAGAAACACAAGAAACACCGAAAGCACAAGACAGACAAGAAGGACAAGAAGGAGAAGAAGGATAAGAAACACAGGAAGGATAAGTCGAAGGTCCTTGAGCATGATTCCTCCAGGGCTCCTAACCCCCTAAGCACGCGTGATGGTGATCATGAGGGCCTCCCGACCATCGCAGGGTACATCCGACCTAGTGCAGGACGGGACCCAGGAGTCTACCCTACCTACCCACCCATGTATCCCATCGACGGACACTCTCCTCTTCCCCATTACCAAGATGGCTACCCACAGGGTGGACCAAGCTCGGGGGACAGGTCAAGCCGAAGGGATTCAAAGGACAGACCGGTACAGAATGGAAAGATCTCACTGTCACCAGGGGAGTATCAGAAGAGGGATGAGTACGAGAGGAAGCTGAGAGAGCTCCAGGGGCTCAGGTCTGATCTGGTCGTGCCGGAGCCAGAGAAGAAGAAGAAGAAACACAGGAAGCATAAGAAAGATGTAAGTTTGTTGACCTGAAATGACCTTTGACCTTAACCTAGTGACCTGAAATTCTACTTACATGATTGAGGATACTTGATAACTCTTTAGTCGAAGTTTCATTCAATAAAAACTTATACTTTCAAAATTATTTTAATACATTCCTCTTGTTTATTATAGCACAATGCCTCTGATAATATTGACAAAATTCTTCCGCCAAACTAAGTAGCCTAGATAACCAGAAAATGGTCACCGTTAACATGATGCATTTATAGATGGCCGCTATTCAATGTAAATGGAGGATGGAAAGCATTTCTACCTATCAGCAAAATAATGTTGCTATGTATCTTACGAATTAAAAAATCTTTTCGAGCAAAGTCATCTTGATAAAAGTATATGAAAATTTGCATTTCGGCAATTTATATTTAAAGCAAACTCATCTAATGAAATAACAATTAGTATGGATTTTCTTTCAATTTAATTTTGCAAATGTTTCAAAAATTGTGCACCCTCAATCTAATTCTTTTTCTGTTTTTCATCTTTTCTTTACAGAAATCCTAGAATACATCAACATGAGCAAAGTGTATGAAACAGATGAACAGCGATAATTATGCTGAGAGGTTTTACAACCGAGTCACATTCTTGCCATGTTTGATATCACTCCGCTAACGACTGGGGCTACATTCTGTCACGTGACATTATCATGACGTCATCAGGTCCGTGTAAAGAGAAGACAGTATTATAACCTGATTAGTACTGGTTTTATTCTGAACTAATGAATATTCATCATCCTGTGCTGGCAAGGTCGAGAGGCTTTCACCTGATTGGTCTAGAGATGGATTAAGAAGCAATATTTATGAACTTTACGACGAACACCAAGAGAGCGTCGCCATTCATGACAAAGGGATGCACGGCGAATGAATATGGAAACCTTGACTGTTGGACAGAGCGATTATTTTATTGTGTATACTATTTAGCTACAAGGTTCTTTTTAATAAAGAATCGAAGCAGGCTGTCAGCGGCCAGGGGAACTGTCGGCCTACGAGACCGACTGACCAGGAGACCGACACTGTCACACGGTCTAGTGAACACTCAATTAAGTCTGCAAAAGCCTCGTGATTTCCGCTCGTTAGTCTAGTATTATTAGACTATAGAGGGATGCTAAGTCCCCTAGGCTGTCGGTCTCGTGGGCTGTTGGGTCTCGTTGGTATTCTTTCAGTCTCTTTGGCTGTAGCAAAGCTTTTCAACTCGTTTATGTAATGATTGTGTTTAAGCAGTCTCATATTGGACATGATTTACTTGTACAGGGGCCAACTATTAAAGGAGTTTGATTTTGAGAGTTTGGTTTGTTACCTAGGCAATATTTCTTATCTTTCTTCCTTTTTTTTAGAACAATAGGTATTGCAATGTCTTTCAATTGTATTTCATTTGATACCGATTTGTGCAGCTGTCAACTCAGATTATTTTCTACTGCTATTTTTACCTTGGCTGAACAAATATGATCATTTTAATATTGCATTCGAAATATAATCTATTGATGTGTCAAAATCGAATTTAATTATTGTTTATAATTAGGTAATCACATGGTTTTAAACAGTTGATGAAACGAAAGAAAATACATCTAGGAGAGAGAAATATTCATTTTGAAAAATACAGTTATATATTCAAAGACAAAGTAGTAAGTTCGTACAAACTTCGAAAATCCCAATTTCTTTCATTACCACATTGCTTGTATCTCGTTTAGTTTTCTTTCCATAGAGTTACATATACGTATCTGTTTCACATTCCCGTATTCTCTTAAATACTATATATTTAATGAATTCGATTTTAATAATCACTATTATTATCTTCATTTATGAGTGCTTGAATACAAAATATAAGATCAAATTTGGATATGCAAAGCGATATTTTGAAATGTTAAAAATAAATAAATATGCCATGACTGATCAAATTATATACAAAGACTTGGCTTCATTTGTACGTCTGAGAAGGACAGAGACAGACGAGGATGGGATGGAGAGAAATAAAACGAAAGAGGGAGGGAGAGAAAGAGAGATAGATAGATAGAGAGAGAAAGAGAGAGAGAGTGAGAGATTTGTCACGTTTTGGTGGTGATAGAATGAAGAATAACGAAAAAGAAGACGAAGAGGAGAATGATGACGTTGTTGAACAGAGAAGAGAAAAATAATGATATTAATAATAATTAAAAGAAGAAGGAAGAAAAAGATGAAGGGGAATATGATGAGGTTGATGGTGAACAAAGAAGAGAAGCAGAAGAAAAAGAAAAAAAGATGGAGGAGGAGGAGGAGGAGGAGAGAAAGAGAGAGAGAGAGAGAGAGAGAGAGAGAGAGAGAGAGAGAGAGTGGATAATGCTGATGACGTTGATGATAATAAGAATAAGAGTAATCGAACATTGAATATGATAATATTGAAATTCATATTTTTTCCTTCAAAAGGGGGAGGCATATCTACAGAAATATGGCCATCACAAATAAAGTTCCCCAGAGTTTTTCAATTTTGACTTTCTTTTTAGTCGATATGTTCGAGGGTTTGACAAACTAAACTAGGCAAATATGTCCATGCCTACCTATAGAAATCATAATATTTAGTGGAGTTATTATTAAAGTAGGGTTTTGTACATTCAAAAGGCAATAAAATACACAATAAAAAACAATCCAATCTCAAACAGTTGTAGATTTTCACACGTACTCTTTCTTTATTGCTATCCAAATCAGTATCCATATGCGACTCAGGAATTTATCTTCCTTTCAATGGAAAAAAACAAAATCACAACAAAAATTAGGAAAATCAGCTATTTCACTACAAAAATAGTAAACGTTAAAACCTGGACCCTGTTTCATAAAACCTGTTACCAATAACACGTCATAATAACTGTTATAAGCTACTCAAATTGTGGCATTTGATTGGATGAGAGCAAATTTGTCATAGAAATTTAGCATTTATGATTGATAAGGAAACTTTCAGGAAGCAGGGCAATGTGCGACCCATCATTTTATATATAAGAATGATTGCTATGTCCTGCCTGGTTTGAAGGTTCGAAAATGAATGAATATATTTAATTTTGCTTAGACAAGCAATATATTGGTTACACCCCGGTGTCCAACTGGTATACTAGGCAGATATATCTTGTCAAACTGTCCACCCGGGATGAGTTTCATTTCAGTAGTCAGCATTAAGGATATGGTGATGATTACAATCATGCGTACATACTCATGACGTGAAACATTGGACAAGAATAAATGCTTTATGTTTACGAGGTAGGAAAATACTCTAAGAATTACAAAATCTTTCTTCATTTTGTCAAAATCTTTTATTGTAAAGTGTCGCAAGTAATTTAAAAAGTGTACAATTTCAGAACCCTGTTCGAAGTTTGGTAAATACATCATTGTTTCTTATTCGTTGCACTTACAACAATGAAAACTGCACCATTTAAATCAAATATAGAGTTGGAATTCGATGGAATACACAATACGCCAAAGATCATTATGCAATTACAACAGTAGATGGCGCTCTCTGTATTACGATCGAATGCAACAGTTGACAACCTTTTTAGGAATGAAATGCGTAACTGTTATTAGTATTTTGGTGAATGCTTTCAGGGAGAGGGTGTTGTTAACATAGTATGAAGGAAAATGAAGGGAAAGTGAACATAGAACAACTCATAAATATCCACAAATCCTCAAATAAATGGTTTGCTTGTTACGTAGAGATACAATAAAATAGCTATTTTGTATTTTTATACCCTATAGTAGTATTTGGATTCCAACATTCTAGCAGGTATTACATTAGCTTTGTGCTATATTGGAATAAAGAAACAGCTATATATTTTATAGATTCTTCTATGGAAAATTTAATTACAGGATATGAGAGTGAAAACACTGCAAGAGTGTCGTTATAAGTCATCAACAAAATCCAACCTCCTTATTACAAATTAAAAGCAGAAATAAATGAGCAAAGATCAAATAGGGAACTACTGTTATTATTAATGATGAAGCGTAAAGAAGTCTGTTAAACACAGATATCTCCCTCTCCATTTCACCTGCCTTAAGGCTCGTTCATTTATGACGTATGATGGCGTATTGGTTTTCACTCAGCACTGTGTTATAAGATACAGAAACATAAAGCGTATTAAAAGTTACGTCATTATTAAAAAACCGCCGCGGTTTTATCGCGTCATTTATGAACCAGGCCTTAAAATGAGTATTACTATTTGCCAGCATGATGTTATGTTGTAGATGTAGATATCGTTGCCCCCGCCCCCTTAATTTCGGTTAACCTGACGTCATGACATGACGAGGTTTCACAACGTAATACCAGCGTAACTTGTAACAACAAGAAGGGTTCTAATTAGATACTATAGTCCCTCCAAATTAGTAGGATCTGACAGTCTGTATTAATACACAGCAAATAAAACCAAATCAAAAGAAAAAAAATCAAATCAAAGAAAAACAAACACTAGTAATCATATACAGAATTAATAAAATCAATCATAATTTACAAATGCAAACCAAAATATATACAAAATATGCATTTTTGAAGAAAAAATATTGTACAATCATTGAATCATAAAATCTTGCTCAAACACAAAAGCAATTAGAAACGCCGAAAGTGGAAATAAAGGAATTTGTAACAACTTAAGGAGGGAAAATTTAACATTGAAAGACAAAGACAGTAATATAGAGTGGACTTAATTACGACAGGGGAATTAATATTAGATTGGGTTCTAAAACTTAAAAAATATTAACCATTGGCTGCGGGTTCTATCCACTATCTATCACAATAAACCAGTCCCATATACCAGTCCCATGCAGCGCTCAAGAGGGATTCTGCGCCCATTATGTGGAGAACCTTTAGGAAGCTGGTGCCACAGGATCAGTTAGCCCTGAGAGGCTCAACCAATATTTTAAAGCTTTGTCCTCTCAGCATTCTGACAGCAACCACGCCAGGAAGCCATGGATTCAAGTGAATCGCCTACGACAAGACACGGGTTGCTTTGCAGCAGAAGTTAGGGTCGATTTTGAAATCCAGGGCATATAACAATTTTATATAAGACTGTGAAATATGAATTAAGTGGATTCATTATCAAATCAGAAAGGTAAATTAAAAAGCATAGCACGAGGTACTACTCATTTCGCATTAGGTAACACATCTTTGGTATAGCATTTTGCACTCATGTCCTGCACAGCGCAGACATTCACAATCATCTTGCCATCCGATTTTTGAAAGAATTGATTAATAAGGGATGGCTTATTGATTGTATCGAAATTCCCTAACCGAATGTCAGTTCCACTCCGCCCCTGAAGATAGGGAAGGAAACCCTTAAGGAAACGAAATTAGTACGAGCTGTGAATCTGGATGCAGAATTAGCCCGAAGATATGACTTTCTCCAAAATATTCTCAAAAGGATGAATAGAGAGGAAAATTTTGCGAATTATAATACTGATTTGAGAGTTATCGACTGAAAATTAAAAATAGGGGAAATATAGCTGTAATTATCTACAATAAATATAATTTATATATTTGACTATTATCTTTGTTCTTCGCCCTTTGTTCTATAATTCGTTAATAAAGTGAAAAAGATTTGTGTAAAAGCTGCGTATTTAAATAATCAGGTGCATATCTGAAATTAAAACTTGAGTTACCATGGTTACCATCATTACCCTCGTAAAACATCAAATGTTTGTTTCCATGCTATACAAAATTATGCCTATGTTATGGGAAGTGTTTCGACAACAATGCTTCCAATGCCATTTGACCTATAAACAAGCACTCCGTAATCTCAAACCCCGTAAGGAGAGATATAGCCCTTTTGAGAGGATTGAGAACACGTGACCAAAACAGGCGACTCTAATCACACGTCACCATATTATATTTCATGTTTCATCAAATGAATAGAATAAATTATCATCAAGTAGTACGTAATAGCAGCATAAAGTACATTTAAATATCTGGTCGAACAGGTTCAAGACATTCGTTGAAAAGTGGATCCAATTTTTAAGTGGGTTCATCTCTAAGTAAACAAGGACTAATATGACTAAAAGGTAGATCTCAAATCCCCTGCATTTAAGCGAGTAAGATGAAACCTGAATATAAATAGTTATCTTTCAAAACTCTCAGTATAAAATTCTTTTGATTTACACACCACTTTTTTCGATTTAAAATCTGATAAAATTTGCTCATAATTGTACAGATAACAAGCTAATCAAATTTGTGATATAGATAATAACTAAATCAATAAAGAGTGCATACTCTGATATCATACATATTTACAAATATATAAAATACAAAAATGGGATTCACAGCTTTTCTAATTCTTAATATTCTAACAACTATTACTGTTAAAACCTTTTTTTGTCTAATACAAATCTGGAAGTATAGTTTCTTTCTGATTCCACGTTTCTACATTCAATAAACACATCTATATACCTTTCTTTTTTGGCACTCTCTCCTCTCTTTATAAATCTCTTTCATTTATACAGTAATTCATATTTGAACATATGCGTCAGACGCGATTGCCCACAATGTCTAATAATATATTAGGATTGGTGACAATATTGGATTCGACAACCCATGTATACATGTTGTATGCCTTCCCGGAATGCGAAATTTTTCAGAGAGAAAAGCATATTAGTGTAGATTGAAATATTATAGAGATGGAACTGAAATAGAAAGAGAAGGGAATAAATATGAATAGTCCGAAAATCATTTAACTTTTCACTATAGTTTCTGCATAAAGGAAACACGTGTCACTTCATATACAAAAAAAAATCATCTCTGATACAAAATTGTCATGCTTTTATAATATTTAACAAGAGGAGATACAAGGAAGACAATATACATGGTTTGTATTTGGCTTTGACTTTAAAAAACAAACTCGCTTATTTCTGCCGAATATCTGGGCCCCATTTCACAAAACTTGTCATCAGTGACAAATTACAATTTTTGTTATAAGCTAGTGAAATCCTTGCTTCTGATTGGTTATCGGCAGATTTGTCACTGATTTTTGTCGTTTGTCATTGAAAAAAGGCTTTGTGAAACGGGTCCCTAATTATGCTATAAAGTGACACAGGAAAAATATGCTTTTAAGTGTCCCAGCTTTTCGAATTTTATCATGATTAAATTTTAATGACCCTTTTCCAAAAGTAGAGAATAGTTGTGATTTTGGAATATCTTACAACTAAGGTTTGATATTTTGTTTTATGATTTTGGAAAATCCCTCAATAAGCAAAAATGTAACGACTGTTCTGTCAAGTGCACTTTTAGCTTATTTGGTTTCTAATCATTTTATTTTTAAATCTCGGATTATCTTGACACGGTGGGAAATTTGAGCCTTTGAGACAACGAGTTTGGGACTTAAAGCGTAAACGAAAGTTTGTATATTTTCGTTTCTATCCATGTGAGAAGCCGTGGATAAACATGTATCAGGACTCCGTAGCGGATACCGCATTAAAAAATAAACGTCACATAGGACAAGTTAGGCAGATTAGTTGTCAAAGTTTTCATTTTCACTTTTGCCATAATTTTCTACAAAACTTCGGTCTACTACAGTCAAACATATTTACCTTTGAATCAAAATATGAAAATATTGTACGGATTTATACATGTTATGATGGCGTAAATACACTATATTTATCATCGGTAGATGAAACACAGAATTCTTAAGAAATCCCACCCATGAATAAGAAAAGACGTAGTCATTCTCCATTTTATCAACGGCACAAACTCGGCACATGATCATGTGATGAATTCAACACGTGATGCGAGTTTTCAAATCCCATTCTTTGATTGGTCCTCTCCAGCCTAACCTCCATTCGTATTCCTTCCGGGTCACATGAAGGAACCGAAGGATCATGCATTGCGCATGTCTTGTCCACGATGTAAGCACGTGAATAAACATGTCTTGTCCACGCAGCAAGCACGTGGACAGACATTGTGAATAATGTGCGTACTTATAAGATAATTATTGTTGCAGATTTAATACTCCTTGGATCGCCAGCTGTTACGTAGTATCTTACCATGTGGCAACAAAACGAGTATTAGAAAAAACACATGTACCATACGATTAGGATGACAATTATGTGCGATTTATTAGCAATACGTTGACGAAATGATCGAGTCATCCTTTTTCTTTCTATTATCCGTTCGTTCTAGCCATATATCTTCAGGTGTGTCCGTAGATAGCCTACCGCTTACAGACGGAGTCGATGAGGCAGCCTGAAGGTTGTGGCCAGAAACAGAGCGATGTGCTGTAGAGACACGGCCGGATGCAGAGCTTGGACGTTGCGACCGCGTCGACGACGATCGCTTGTCCGAACGCGGAGAGCGTGATTGCCGATGTAATGTCTGTGTTTCCGTGTACGACTCGCTCGGTTGCTCGCATTTCTTGACACGTGGCATCGTGTTTGAGGAATACATGGATTGTTGACGAGGCATTGAATGGGAATTCGATTCCGGTAGCAGGACTGGAACATCCACCGGTTGATCACCTGGAAACGGCTGGCTTAGGAGTCTATCCACATCATGTAAATCGTTGGACGTGCCATTGTTTCCTGTAATAACAGATGCCAATGTGGCAGGGACACGATTCGACACACTGGGAATCTGTTGATTGGTATTGGTGGACGGCATGATATTATGAAGCAATGTTTGGGCATCTTGTTGCATGGTTTGTGCAATCACCGCCATTTCTTTCTGCTTTTGTTCTTTCAACAAAACATCGATGATCTCGTTCCTCTTCTCATCAAAACTTCTCTCAATATTATCCAGCTGCAGGTAAAGCTCATCTATTTTGTTATGCACTGCTCTATCACACACAAGTTTGTTCGCATCCACAATATGTACCGCTGAGGGTGCAATTTGTCCTGTTGATGAACTAGTTGGAGCACCCTCTGGCGTTCCTCTAATCCCCAGCCCGCCTGACACACGCCCTCTCTGTTTTGTCTCAGCAAGTTGTGGTTCTGATGCTGCCATATACTGAGTCTCTTTCAGAGGGCTATGAGGAATGGATTCACGTTTTTGTGGAGCACGAGGACTGCTGGTGTGTTTAGGAATCATTGGAGCATCTTCGCCTTCGTCTTCCTCCTCGTCATCGTCAGCGTTCAGTCGATTCATCTCGATGTCGACTGTGGTACGCTTGGAAGATTCTGCAAAGGTTGAGATTTAGGGATAGAATTACATGAGTTACAGTAAGGACTAAATACAATATCGTATTCCCCTACTCGTCTACTGCAGACAGGTCGATGATTCAAATAAAATTCTCAATCCTATAGGAGCACGTTGAATGAAGTAGGATTGCGAACTAATAACCGTTGCAAAATGGAAACATGTAACGAAACGAGGGCCCCTGATTGAGTAATTTCAAGTTGGTAGTCTAATCTACTCCAGTCAGATTCAAGTTGTTCAAATGTATCTTGTTTCCGATAATTTACAGATTGGAATGATTACAGTTGATTGGACCTCTCAATTTAGACCCCCCCCCCACCCTATTATTATGTCCCAAACATAAAATGTGTTTTGCTCTTTGATATCCACCAAACACCCTTGTGTAAATCTAATCAGAATGTGAGTAATATATTAAACCACATGTACCACTCTCTATCCAGGTGTTAATTGATGCTTGGCAAAATTGATGCGGTAATTGAAGGGCCATAATTGCAGGGCCATAATTGCAGGGCCATAATTGTGGGGCCATAATTGCAGGGCCTTAATTTCAGGACCTTAATTGCAGGGCCTTAATTGCAGGGCCTTAATTGCAGGGTCCTAATTGCAGGGCCATAGTTGCAGGGCCATAATTGCAGGCCATAATTGCAGGGTCCTAATTGCAGGGCCATAGTTGCAGGGCCATAATTGCAGGCCATAATTGCAGGGCCATAATTGCAGGGCCATAATTGCAGGGACATAATTGCAGGGTCATACTTGCAGGGCCATAATTGCAGGACTATAATTGAAGGGCCATAATTGCAGGGCCAAAATTGAAGGGCCATAATTGCAGGACTATAATTGAAGGGCCATAATTGCAGGACTATAATTGAAGGGCCATAATCGCAGGGCCATAATTGCACGGCCTTAATTGCAGGGTCTTAATAGTAGGGCCTTAATTGCAGGGCCTTAATTGCAGGGCCTCAATTGCAGGGCCCTCTGGGAAAACAGCACTGATGTTGATGAGGCTTACCTGGGTTATCAGAAGTATATGAAGAGTTAAATTCCAAAAGGAGCTAAATCTATTTTTCTAACTTAAGTGAAAAAAAAAAAAATTACCAGATTTTGTACAGGCGTCTGTGGTAAAGTGATGTTAGAAGGTGCATTTTTCATAATTGCTCCCAAATTTAGGTAAATAGTTTTGTTGCAAGACGGCTACTGCAGTAAACTATGTTCTGATATCAATAAGTCAATTTTCATCAAAAGTAGATTAAGCTCCTTTTGGAATTAAACTCTTCATACAAATTCTTACCTTGTGACTGTGACCTTGACTTCTCACTTCGTTTCCTGAAGCGTCTCCTAGTACTGGGTGATGTAGCGCGATAGATAGTCTGAAGATTCTCAGAGCTTTGCATAGGTGTTATAGTTAACCTGGTATTGCTAACTGACAAGTTGTTTCGTGTACTTGAAGTTTTCTTTGGAGGTGTTGTTGTCTTGTCAGCCTCAATGTCTTTCTCAGGAACCGCCGAGGGTCTTCTCTCAGATGGATCATACTGTATAACGGACAAATGGCAATTGAGAATATTAAAGTGACTCGGTATATGCTTCCGATTCTGAAACAAAATCCTGGATTTAGCTCATGCTGCAATTATAATTATAAACTTTAGGTAATTCAAGAATCCCATTACTTTTACAAACCGATCGCCTGTCTGATTGTCAATATTTTTATGATTGGATATCGAAATTTCAATTTTTCGTTTTCCTAACGGTTTCTATAACACTACAGTTTACTGGGAAAAATGAGTATGGTAAAACCGGTCACTCAAAGATTTTTACTTTTTTGAGGCACTTCATGATCATTTTCAAGCGCAATTTTGTCAGGGCTTCAATAGTACACCATATCACAGACACATATAACACTAACGGTCTTGCATTTCAGATTTAACATTGTTAAACGATCCTTTTAATCCTTTAATGATATCTCGGAAGACATTACTGAGTCCTTTTATTTTTAAGTCGGATTGATGATTATCAAAGGGATAGTCAGTGGTAGAATTAGGGTTTTACAACACAACTCTTTGGTTTATGTGACAAACGTCATGTTTGCCACACAAAGGAAATATCGTATGTTAACGTTAATCATTTTACACAGAATTAACGCTTTCCAGTCTTCAAACAGACGATTTATGCCCCATTGTGTTCATATGTCTCTCCCACCGTCTAAAAAGGAATTGGAATGTTTTTTTAAAATTTGTATTTCTAACTTATCAAACTATTCCTAAGATTGTGTATCCCTTTTGCATAATCTTGCCTCAGTACCCGGTTAATAATGCGAACTCACAACAAGCAAAACACAAGTAGACGCTTCCATACTACCACCTTGTCATGCCTGTGAGTTATACACATTTCTGTTTTACATGTGTCAGAAATGTTAAATTACTTTTGTGTTTTAATATATTAGTGATACTGATGTCATCTGAACATCAGCGAACTAATGTGATTGGCCTATATGAGACTCTCCTTACGAGGACTGCTTGTGCGTGTGTGTGTTTGTGTGTGTATTGGGTTTTTACAGACGTGTATCAATCAGATAAGATTATTTACGTCTGGGGACCGACCTTTAAACGTCACCATCCGAAAGACGTGACTCAGTTTCGAACCTGCGGTCCTCGGCTGAATCAGTTTGTAACTTCCACTTATAGCTGGATTACAGGCGCACGCCACAACGCCTAGTGTGTCCAGGGCCCCGTCTTATAAAGAGTTGCGATTGTTTTGGATCAATCGGAAGTCAATCCTCCAATCAATCGCAAGTTTGCATACTCCTATCTCGTATGTACATAGTTGTGATTGATATCAACTCTTTATAAGATTGGGCCCTGCTGTCAACAATTACCTATTGACATCTGAAACAACCATTGTTTGCAATTGTACAATATATACACAGATATACACATACTTACATCTCGCATATCCATGGTGATTTCAACCTTCTCTGCAAAATGTTCTTTGAAGTCTGGATATGACCTGATCACATCCATCAGATCATCCCTTGCTAAGGTCACCAGGTCACAGTAGGTCAATGCCCTCACGGTGCCCTTTGACCTCCCTACATCCTCGCACGTACAGAAATTCTCTCCTACAACATCGTTCTTTCCTGTAAGGTTGATGAATAGAAGGGATAACACAAATTGTTTGAAAATATAATTTCCTTTTTGACGTTGTGATGATAGTGTTTAACTTGTCGATCGATTAAGTTTAAAAATATGAGAGAGAATAAACACCCTGATAGTTTTATAATATTGGAAGCGCTTAGTAAGGGCAAAATGGTAAGTACTGTATTTGTAGCGCTGAACATATAATATTATAATCATACGTTGTATGATACATATAGTAACATCATCAACTTTCATGCGATTGTCCCCGACCAAATCATTCTTGCCTGTAATTATCTTGTCGACGAATGTTTGTTTGTTCATACATTCGGTCCATGCAAGCACATGGATTTTTTTTTTAATTCCTGAAACTTTGCAGCTCGATACATCACGCTTTTGTGCTCTTGCATAATAATATTATACACAAGGCACAGGAAAGATACTACTAATAGGATTACGTTCATACTTACCTAAAATTGCTAAAACAAGGTTTCCCTGTAAAATTTCCAGGGATCCTCTCGATATAAAGTACATGATATTCAACGAGTCGCCTTTGTGTATTAATATATCACCAGGAGCTGTGTGCGTTGTCTAAATAAAGAAGAACAAGGAAATGAAAGAATGAAATCAATTAACAGTCACCAATTATGTTCTTCAGTTGGAAGACATCTTATACAACTTGGCTTACATTACGCTTTGATGTAACCCTGTATATTGGTATCGTACGTGTATAAAGAAGTCTAAACCCAATATATTTTGCCGTCTTCTTATCACAATTCGTAGTTTTAATAGTCAACTTGTCCAACTTTTTGTTTTTGTTTTAAGCTTTCCCGAAAAAACTAACTTTGATAAGGCAGACTTGACTTATTCATCTTAGTTATGGGGCAGCAAGTGTAAAGTCCTTCATTTGGAAAAAGAAATGCTTTTCATATTAAATTAATATATTAGTCATCTATATTTCCGCAGTAGGAAATGAAAGAAGTTACATTAAATTCACCCACTCAGGTCCTCTGTCAAAAGAAGAGAATCATTTCTTTATCGATTGACAACAGACAATGTCACAAAATATAGTAGCATTTACGTTTACACATACAGTTAGAAGTGATAGTGATTTATTTGTTTATTTTTATTTCTTTATTGCAACCAAAACTTGAGGTTAATAGATATCAAATACAAATAAAGGTACAAACAAATAGATAACAATAGTAGAAATAATGTAAACTAAGTCAAATATACTATAATTATATTATGTCCATAGACCGGTTTACAAACATATGCATATGGTATACATACTGTTTAATAAAAAGTTGTCTTTGACAACCCTAAAGCTTGCTCGAGGCTTGCTTGACATAGCAACAAGCAATGCATGCAGACTGGATTATACAACAATTGTAGTTCATTCATTAACAACAGGTTAACGGAACACATCGTCACTAGGTCCCCAGGAAAGAAACATCCATGAATTTGAATATGTTGGTAAACCGATCCATTTGGAAAGGACAAAGATGATCACACTTGAGGGTCGAAAGGCATAATCATATAAAAGTTCAAAATATTTATAACTTACCTTGAATTTCATGGATAACGCTCGTAAACATCCGTGGTTTACGCCTCGAAATGCGTTGGATTCTTTGAGAAGATTACGATTTAAATGAAGTGATATATCAGCTTGAAGAAAATCAGGAAAGTCGGCCATAACCTTTGAAATTAATAAGAAAGAAAAGGGTAGACGTTAAAGGTAACCTCACCTCAGAGAATTTAAATAAATTAAGATGCTATTTACTTTATGAACGACTTCACATAGTACGTCGCGTTATCCAAAAATGGCGATTTACAGACATTATTACCCCGGTCATCGGTTTAACAATGGGCACTATCTCCACTCCCGGGGAGTATTTCTATGATATCGTCACCGTGAGGGTATATGGAAATTACTAACCCAAAGGCTTGCACCATCCTACCAGGTCCCCATTTCTGTCCTGGGTAAAGAGTGACAAATGTAGATAAATGCCTTGCCAAAGGACATTAGTGCAATGACGGGGAACGAACCTACGACCTTTGCATTTCATGTCAAGTGCTTAAATCACTCGACTACGACACTTCTATTTAGTGAGTAAGTGGTAAAAAAAAAAATCGCAGAAAAAAGTTTAAAACTCTGCTTACCTCAGCGACTTCATGGAAGTCATTTCCGTTCATATAAACCCAAGCGTGTTTGAAATACTCCTTGAGTCGACTCTGTAACGGATTGGGTACATTGTGAAACTTGACGAACTCTTTGACCAGGTTGAGCTGCTGCTGATACCGGGATATACCGGCGTAGAGACGCTCGATGATCGCCGTCATGTTCCCGAAGATACACGCGAACATAAGGGCTGAAAAGAAATAGGAGAAGGAGAAGCAGTTCTTACAGGGTGTTTTGAAAATGAATAATAAATGTATTGTGGAACTAAATTTTCTGTCTATTTTGGGGGTGATTTCATCATGTATTTTCTTTTGCTGTGTTGTTGTTTTTTTGGTTAGACGTATCAATTACACACTTTGTCGTGAACATAATGATCGGCAAGTTTAGATTGGACATGTTTGCTAGACCAAAGAAACAGTAAAACAAATAGGACACGTATGTTAATTCAAAGCTCTATCATGGGTTTGAAATCAAGTAAATCTGTGCAGGAGGAGGAGGAGGAGGAGGAGGAGGAGGAGGAGGAGGGATGATGTAATCCGATCAGAAGTTTGGTTTTGTACTTACATCCTATAAGCATCATACAGATGGCGAATAATTTCTCTGCGTCCGTTGAGGGCGCTATATTACCGAACCCCACCGTGGTTAGTGTGGTTAACGTAAAGTATAGAGATGAGACGTATTTATCTTTTAATGACGGACCACCTGTCGATGCATTCTGTACAAGAGAAAACATATCGATAAATTCATGAAGAAAAAAACAAGCGTTTAATCAAACAAATGAAAAACATTGAAATAGATTACAAACCTATGTTAGCCAAATGAAAGTATGATGATAGTTACAGAGAAATAATTTGTCACCCATACAAATGAAATAGTTAATTTAGTAACTCTTTTCATGAAATCATTGTGACAATATAGTATATTCTTGATAGATAAAGTTTTCATGTTCTCGGAACTTTACAGATTCATAGACATTGATCTCTAAAGTTCTGAAAAGCTATAAAGTTTGTCTATAAAAAAAAAAGCTTATTGACTCAATCATTCCATGAAAAGAGATACGAAAAAGTTATTCCAAATTTATGGACAATAGTGTACAAATATAAATGGGGAAAAAACACTAAGGATAAAGAGATTAGATATTGGGATGAAGAGAGAGAGAGAGAGAGAGAGAGAGAGATCATAATTGTATATTCAATAACTTTGCGATGTTTAATAAACTAAACATGACTGTATATTCCCCATAGCCAGTGTTAGCAGAAAATAACGTTCTCATTGAGAGTTTGTGACATGAAACATGTAGCCAAGGTGTAATCCAGTCAAATACAGAACTCAGTTGAATACGTATCTCTAGACTGCACGTCCAGAAAGGGTGTTAGACAATATCTTACCCGAGGCTTAATAAACAAGACTAATTTAATGGCGCATGAAATATCAGAACGGTGTAATGCCAACCCGCTAGCTAGGATTAGTCTTAATTCATAGACCTGTTAAGTGTAAATGTCACCCTCCCATGAGAAGATGGATATGAGTCGTGGGAAAGCTACAAATTGAATGCCTCCGAGCAGCCAACACCTTCAGAGAGAGGGAGAGAGACAGAGGCAGAGAGAGAGAGAGAGACGGACAGAGAGAAACATAGATAGAGGAGTAGACAGGGAAACGGACAGAGAGACGGACAGAGAGACGGACAGAGAGACATACATAGACACAGACAGGGACACAGACAGGGGGCTGGCAGAGACAAACCAAAAAGATACAGAGAGAGAGAGAGAGAGAGACAGGCACATAGAGAGGGAGAGAGAGAGAGAGAGAGAGAGAGGCACACAGACAGACAGAGAGAGAGAGAGAGAGAGAGAGAGAGAGATATATATATATATATATATATAGAGAGAGAGAGAGAGAGAGAGAGAGAGAGAGGCACATAGACAGAGAGAGAGAGAGAGAGAGAGAGAGAGATAGAGACGGACGAACAGAGAGACAGACAGAGAAACAGTACAGAGAGGAAACATGTCCGGTACATAATATGTCTGCTTTAAATCTAGTTATACAGTACAAATATCTCCCCTCCATTTATAATCAAAATCGTAATAAAAATACAAGGATAACTACTCACTTCTCTCAAATGGTCTTTTTTTTAATATACCAAATTACATACGAGTTGTAGTTTCCATACCAGCTATAAACAGTGTATATTTTGGAAAGAGATATACACAAAGAGATATACACTATGAATATGACGGACAAAGAAAAAGGACACACAGTTCCTCATTCTACCCTCAACAATTGCTGTGGTAGATAAAGGAACATCCCTTCACTGCTATTATTTAAAAATGTGTAGAACAGGTGTCACATGCACATTCACCTTTTCTACACATTTTTACATAATAGCAGTGAAGGGATGTTCCTTTGTCTACCACAGCAATTGTTGAGGGTAGAATGGGGAACTGTATATTTTGTCCTCTTACTTTGTCCGTCATGTTCAAAGGATATATAATCAAAACGTCGTGGCCTATTCGCAAAGGGAACATGTGACACTAGTTTTATTCAAATGAACTTCGTCTACATGCATTGCCGTTCTCTTCCATATGAGTCAGTATATCAGCAATATGTTGTTTGTTCTTAACATTTATCAATTTATTTGCATCATCCACCGTGAGTGAGGAGAAACGACTTAGAGTGGTCCTTTAATGAATATATGGGAAATCCGGCAAGAAATAAGAAGGAACATGCGTTAATTAATTTCATTCGTGTTGCAACCACGTGATATAGAGCCGACCAATAGGAGCCAAGCAGGGCAATAGTACCCTGGGAGGTGTTAGAATTTAATAACTGCTTTACGCTTTAGTCACTCCCCCCAGGCTCAGACTGTGTGAATGTGTTATTACAGGGAGTCTCAGCATGGGTGCATTCACACTGTCATTCTCTAGAGTGGTTGAATGTTTTGACAAGCATGCTAGTCATCTCGGCAGTCATGACGTACCTGCCTTTTCCTTGTCATATTTTATTATCACACCTGTTTCATTTCTTGCACATTTGAATTTAAAGAATAACCTGAGGAAACATGCAGGACATTTTCCCTGTCATCTTCCTCCTTAATTCTAGCAGGAAAATGCACAAGCATGCAATGCAGAATTGATGAAAATAACTAAGACGTTTCTAAGTATTAAAATGGAATAGTATTGCGGATATTGTGATAGTAAGTACAGTACTTCAAGAACAAAGGTCAACTTTGAAAATGGACTTTTTGCCATTTTCTATACTACTGTGTATATACTTTGTGAATGTCATAAGAATACCTGAATTTGCTCTCCATGTTCTTTTTATAAATAATATTTAGTCGAAAATTGATTATTATATTTCATGAAATATGGCTTACCGTATACGGAGTAAATAAATCTTGCGCTAACATGTCTAGCCAGCCATACTGTATTTCTGGTCTTTGTTGTTCCCCGATAGCGTACCATATACAAGCCATCCAATGAGAGACCAGGGTGAAGGCACACATGAGTAGGCACACGACGGCTGGAGCAAACTGAGAATACTGATCTAGACGACGAGCAACACGAAGTAATCTCAACAATCGAGCTGTCTTTAATAAACTCATTGCTGACGTCGTTTTCTGTGGTATAGGTAAGAGTTTTAATTGTAAGTATTAATTAAAGTTATCATTATTACCATGACCATGGGTGTCGATACTTACGTAATACCTATTCATCAGGGGGGGGGGATGAATAGATCATCCCCCCCCCCTGATGAATAGGTATCAGTTACGGATCGACACCCATGACATCATCATCATCATCATCATCACCATCATCATCATCATCACCATTATCATCATTATCATCATTATCATCATTATCATCATTATCATCATCATCATCATCATCATCATCATCATCATTATCATCATCGCCATCATCAACTAGCTGAGAATACTGGTCTAACGAATGAGCAAACTTTAAGTAATCACATTATTACAAATCTTTATTCTCAGTTTTCTTATGTATAACTGATTTTCTTATAAAATTGAGGATATGGCGTATATTTTCAAAACTGAATGAACGCCATTAAACTATTACCAACAACAACAACAACAACAACAACATCAATCTTCATGAACCAACTGCAGACGTAGTATGGATTAGAAAGAGTAAACGGTATCTTCACTATAAACGATAGCATCACTTTCCGCAATACAAAAAAAAAATCGACATGATCATGATCATCACTACCGTGACCCCCACTACAATTACCGTTTCTATCATTATCACCACCTGCAACCTCACTATACCAGCGTAATCATGTATGATAATCATTATCACCATCGTCATCCTCATCATCACCATGATGATGATCATCATCATCATCTCTATCATCATCATCATCATCATCAACATCACTATCATCACTATCACCATCATCATGATCATCATCACCACCATCATCATTATTACCATCACCATCATCATTATCACCATTAACATCATCATCACCATCATCATCTTCATAATCATTATCTTTAGCAATGTCGTCATCTTCATCGTTATTCAACATGGCATTAAATATCACCGTTTTTAAAATTTGGAAATAATTCTAGGAAGAACGACAGGCCGTTCGGGAGATACACTGACCTCATCCGCTGCCACGGAGAAGAGAAGGAGATCGAACGGAATGGCGGCCATGACGTCGATCACGAACCATCCCTTCAGATAATGCTTGGCTATCTTCGACGGGTTTGAGATGACTTCGCCCAGGGAGTCGTCGAGGAAGGTGGTTCTAAAGTTGATGAAGATATCGACGATGAACATGACGTCGACCACCATGTCGATGAATACCAAGGGTTGGGTGTAACTCTGTGAGAGACTGTCGCCGTCTCGTGTATCAGCATCCTTGTTAAGCTTGGCCTGTAGGAGATAGAGGAAAGAAAGAGGAGGAAGAGGAGAGGGAGAGAGAGAGAGAGAGAGAGAGAGAGAGAGGGAGAGAGAGAGAGAGATAGAGAGAGAGAAAGAGTGAGAGACAGAGAAAAGGAAATGAGTGAGGAAACGGGAAGTTTACTAACATATTCAAATTGTATACATATACTCTTTAAACGAAGGTTACCCTTGATTACTCGAAAGCTCTTCAACGTTTGCCCGACACAGCAACAACAATGTATGCAGACTGGATTCCGAGCCTATTGTAGTTCATTCATGAATAACAGGTTGATGACAAAACTCGTTACTTGGTCCTTGGAAAGAAACATCCATACATTTGAATAAGTAAATAAACTGGTGTTGATGAACACATTAGGGACTTTTAGATTTGCGTGGAGTGATACGTGTGACGTCCATTCAAGGCAGTGCATTAAAAGCACGTCGATCGTATCAATCCACGTTGTTGTTGTGCAAATCTATTATTTAAACTACTTGGACTGACCATAATTGTTCAATCTTTGATTTTCGTGTCTTGAAGACTTCATTGTTCTTATTTCATTCTCAAGAAAGGTTTCAAACTAGCCCGTATTGTTGCTTTATAATGTCTGTGTCTGTATTTTTGTACTGTATATGTAGGTCTTTCATCGCACATAACTAATCTTCCATCAACGATTTTAGGGCTAGCTATACCTTCAGCACGGATGATATTGTCTTGTTCATCATTTTTACTAATAACATTATGACGAAAAATTTCTGTCATACAAGCCATCGAAAACAGAGTTTCAGATAGTGTATAGCAAAATTGAAAACTAAAAGAATAGTCGTAATACAGTCAACCCCACTTTAATTAGCGACCACCTGTATACAAATACCACAGTTTTTGTTTCCCTTGAAAATGGTTTCTCATTGAAACATCTACTAAATGACCCTGTCTACAAAGACCACCTGTCTACAGAGACTACTTTTTTGCGTTTCCTTTATAGGCGGTCGCTGTAGACAGGTTTGATTGTACTTACCTTATTTTCGTCATTTTTGAGTAGGAAGGCTGCTGAGTATGGAGTAAAGATAGCTGTGTAGACTACGAGGAGAAGTATAAACCAATCCCACACTGCCTTAAAGGGCGAGTAATGAAGGATAGTGAACTTATGAAGCTGACGAACACGCAGCTTCTTATGATTGATCTCATCTGACGTAAGCCGTAGCACCTATAGAAAGACAATGCATGAGAATGTATTCACAGACATAGAAACAGCTAGATCACCGTCATAATTAATATCATCACTATGATTTATTCAAAACAAATTCTATATATAGATAGAAGGATCACGAAACATAGATGAAAAGCGATGAAACCTTTTCTAAACAAATTCCACAATCTGCCAGTGGGATTACTCTGAAAAGCTGCTTGGTATGGAAGGAAATGTAGAGTTTAACAATGTTATCAAAAGTTTTACCAGGCCAACATTTGAATAGGGAAATGTATTTTGTTACCCCGGTTAGACCTTCGTCCTGACCAGGGACGTGATAGAGAAGGACTGGAATCAAGCCGCTCTCCTTTGACCCCATGCTCCAAGCCGCCGAAAAGTTATGCGCTAATCAGCAACTGTTGACCAGGTGGTGAGATAAAAGAGCGCATGAAATTTCAGGAGTTAGAATTCCTACATCAGAAAATGGTATCACTGCAACTGTTCGCTGTCCCTTCCAATGATTTGTCATCCATTGTTGAATGTGTAAAGAGTAGAACAAGCGAACACAAACTTGTGTACTTTCATCCTTTTTTAAACTTGAAAAATACAAAAAACACGCGAAAACACGCATTAGCAAACTTAATGTTATTGAAGATTGTAAATCATGGATCAAATAACGGGACATTAAAGCATGCACAAATTAGCGCATCATCCTAAAATATTGAGTTTTTGACAAGATGTAATTTTTCTTTTACCAGCTCTGGCACACAAATTAAAGGAAGGACGGAGTTCTAAATTTGAAAATTTGTTTGATGCACTATTCCCAATAAAATCCCCATATAAAGTTTTTGATTTACACTGAAATTTTGCCGGTAATTTAATATTTTGTAATAAATGTAAAACTGGTGCCTGGCTTCCGAAAGTCCCCGCAGTGGAAGCGCGGTTCGGAGCATGGAACTTCAAAGCCAAGTGGAATGTTACACATCCCATTGTTACGCTTCAGAACTCAAGAATGCGTTTGAATAAATTACAAGAGTTTCGCCTCCTTTTCTTTCACCTCCCTGTCCTGACGGAGTGACACTAGAAAAGGCAATACATAAAGAGAGAGAGAGAGAGAGGGGGGGGGGGGGGGGGGGGAGAGAGGACAAAGTAAAGAATGGGAGAGGGTAGAAAGAGATGAAGGGGGTAGGGTCGAGAGAAAGAGTGGAAGAGAGAGAGGGGGAAGGGGTAACGAGAGAGAGAGAGAGAGAGAGAGAAAGAGAGGGATAAAGAGATAGAAAGAGAGACAGAAAGGAAGAGAAAGAGAGATGGAGAGATGGATGGAAAGAGAGAGAGAGAGAGAGAGAAAGAGAGAGTGGGGCAGACAGACATACAGTAGGATGGGGTTAGGCACAGAATAGTAACCACTTACTTTAAACTATATAGTGTATGATTAGTGTTTGGCTCATGTTTATTGTGTTTTAGTAATATAAAAATGTATATATCATGTCTATGTATTTTATCATCATATCTTTCTTTGTTTTACATATCTTTCTGTATTGTGTTGTAAATATGTTGTGCTCTCATACCCCTGAAGGGGGTCGATAGAGTCAAATAAAATCTTATCTTATCTTACCTCCGACTTATCGGTGGATGCATTTCTCTTTCGTCTCATTGGGATTGATGTCCCGTCTCTCTTACCGCCAGAACATCAGAATCTGAAGAAAAAAACAATAAAAGTCAGAATTAGGTTAAATTAACTTATAAATAAAACAAAATAGTAGAGTGAGGAGGAACTCGGGTGTAGTGGTCCACCGTCCAACAGCAAATTCTTAAATACACCGGTTTACTAACATATTCAAATTTATGGATCTTTCTTTCTTTCATGTGGACCTAGTGACGAGTAATTCCATTAAACTGTTATTAATGAATGGACTACAATACTTGTAATCCATTCTACATACATTACTTGTTGCTATGTCGGACAAGCATTGGGCAAGCTTTCATGCGGTCAAGAACAACCTGTATTTAAAAATTATGCATACAATTTGAATATGTTTTTAAACCAGCCTATTAGTTATACAAGGAGGAGAGACCCGATGGTGATTCAGTTTGCTTTTAGTCTCCCAAGCACAGGCGATGCCAAATGCTTTAAAACAATTATTATACAAAAAAAATAACAAGACTGATTTTCCGTTGATATCGAGAGTGCACATCTATTGATCTTGTCTAGGTTTTTGTCGATAAGACTCCGACATTCCCAAAGGATTCAGCTCTGCTCATTTTATTCAAAATGCACTATTTGTTATCAAGTGGAGTTTAATCATTAGCTAACTCCCATCTGTGTATCTGATGTTCTCAAATCATCGAATTGTTTTGAAATGTGATTTAAAAGAGAGGGATGACAAGGAGAGAAAGATGACAACATTGGACATACAGCAGTTGAACGACCTTATGAAATCATTAAACCGTGATCTGACAACATAGTTCACACCGTGCTCACAGCATTCCCCATCGGCCAGGTGCAACTAAACAATGTCTACCAACATTCGCTCATTGTCCTGATCGGATTAAATCAACACCCTTCATCGATGACGTCATCAGCCACCAGCTCGACCACCTGCTCGGTCTATAGTACACATAGTTCGACTCTGACTGATTAAATTTTAACGACTAAATCATGTCTCATGGAAAGCGTAATACATAAACAAACATTTATGAAGTTCGAAATTGAAATAGAATGCGAGCACATTTCAAAGCTGACAGAGCTCTAAGCTCTTTATTGACACCCCTCCTCACACAAAAACATATCCACACACTTGAGCGTGCAAGCACACGCACACACACACACATACATAATATATACAAAGATACAAAAGTGGAAAAGCTATTATGGTGAAAGATTTAATGTTCAAACAAACTTTAAATAAAACCGGTAATAATGATAACCATGGGGAAGGGAGGGTCATGCTCAAGTTAAATTATACCGTAAAAGAAGTATAGAATGGGCAAATATGTCTATGTCGGTATGGCATCAACAAAGGAGCCATCTATTGTGGCGACAAACGTTCCCTGTTTCAGGAATAAATGTATGCAAATAGGTCAACACTGTTACGAAAGAGAGAGGGAGAGAGAGAGAGAGAGAGAGAGAGAAAGAGAAGACGTAGAGAGAGTAGGGGGATAATAAAATCAGAACAAACCAAAATATAGTCCATCTGAAATACCGGTGAATAATTATGTACCTTTTTCAATCATATGTCATAACATACAAACAAAGAAGAGAAAAAAGAAGGAAAAATAAATAATAAATAAACAAAAGAAACCAAAATACCATGGCTCACCGGTCATTCAATTGAAGATCTGCAATAAGATTGTATTATAGCTCATGAAGAACAAACTAATTCCCAAAGAATTTCCTGAAACAATAAATGTGGTCGAAATTCCCTTCTCAACCGAACCTTTTCTCCTGAAACTCGAATTTCAACTAATTTAATCAGCATTAGAATGGGCAAACGTAGCAGTACATTTCCTATGACGTTCTACCCAGCGATGTATAGTAGACTTGAAGAGCGGAATTCATTAGAATAATACAGGGATATTTATTGATTTGGTTGTTTTCGAGTACAGGTGCCAGCGGTATAGTCGGTCTTTCTTTCTCAAGAAAACCGTGGGAAACTAAGAGTCAAGTCAATTAGGAATAGTCTTTGCACAGTAAAGACATAGGCCTACTTCAGACAAAACTATCGATCTAATAATTTAATTAGACGAATTTGTCGATAGCTATCCTGGTTATGTGACCGAAATATAAATGAGAAATAAATTAAATGACCAATAAACAAGAGATGTGGACTAGGCTTCAAGGACCCCGACCTTGAAATTATCAAACAGAAGGAAAAGACATATGGGCCGGCTCTCAAGGCATATACTTCAAAGAGCTAACAAGTTTTGGTCATGTTTTCAACATTATGGATGTTCGATATTAATTTTGAAAGTGTTTGAAAGTTTTGTTTATTGTAATGCATAAGTATCCATTTTGAATAGAAATAGAGCAATATATTGTATAATTCATACCGTGTTTACTTATCAAACATTATGCATTGATGTTATTAAAGGTGAAATTATGCGCCAAATATCTTGCATTTTGATTAGCGTCCTATGTGGACCTTTTTTAAAGTCTTAAACAATATCAGTATTTTGCATGTTATAATATCGAAATGTCAATCACTTCATAGCACGAATTATACTAGTCAATATGTACAATGCACTTAACTTTTCAAGTACATGCCGGACATATTGAGACATACGTTTGCACTGTCAATAACTTAATTGCCAATGGTCATATTTATGCCGGTCGATGATGACGACGTATTCGACTTTAGTTTAAATAGGGCGGATGCTGTATTATAGTGTTTGGTATATTCGATGATGAAGATAACTGTAGCTTTGGGTTAACATATTATTCACCACTTGCAAAGTCATCGGGAGCGATAAATATATATGATACTCGTCCATGGTGCACCCGTCGCAAAACATAACAAAAATACCAAGTAAATATGACTAAATACCCCCCCCCCCCTACTCAGCGAAACATTGGCTGGCACGGTTTTCAAATTTCAGCATACTAAATTTAAAATTGATTTAAAAGTTGGATCTCCCACCACACTAAGAAATCCTGGATCCGCGCCTGATGTCATTTATGTGTTATTTATATTGCGTTTTTTCATATAGGCTCATCAAGCAGGCGCATACCCGTTTAACAATTGTATGTAATTTCCGTTTTGCATGACCTTTGTGTGCAATTTCAATCATACGGGAAGCGTCAGAGACAATAAAAGTCATTGACGCAGCTTTGCGTCAGTGAGTAACGCCCCATGTTCAACATGTAAAATGGCGCTATATACGGGAATAACGATGTGGTCCTACCATAATCGCAAATGAGTGTACTCTACACTGCTAGTGTTGGTGTAAAACCTTTTTGAATACATTGACATTGGTGGTGGTGGTAGTGGTATGCTATCAAATAGAATAGGTCGCATGAACCGTGCTAACAGAACGTTTACCCTAAATAGCCATAAAATAGCCTGCTAACTTCACCTTCATAGGTAGAAAGGAGCCACTATTATTCTCAGCATGTCCAAACAGACCGGTGTCAGTTACCTCCACCGTGTAGGACACTTATCTCGCTCGTCTACCGGCGTTTATTTGCCAAGACGATTCTATTTCTCGAGCTGAGGAGATTGATGACCAAACACCAGTCTTTCACAGATTAAACCCTTCCAATTGGTGGCTTATTTCACTCGGGACCGTCTATAGGTGTCTCAATCCATCCCTCTCACCTATCAGTCACAACCAGTCTTCATTAAACAGACCCTAACCTTATATAACTCCCTGTGGAATAATATGAAGATAAACTCTGTTCTCAAACCACTATGCTTTATTGAATAGGAGCAGTCCTACATTTTAATTTCACAACTACCATCCCACTACCACAACTTCTACTATTATTACTACAACAACTACTACTAACAATACTACTACTACTACTACTACTACTACTACTACTACTACCACCACCACCCCACTATCACCACCACCCCTACTACTACTACTACTACTACTACTACTACTACTACTACTACTACTACTACTACTACTACTACTACTACTACTACGACTACTACCACTACTACTACTACTACTACTACTACTACTACTACTACTACTACTACGACTACTACTACTACTACTACTACTACTACTACTACTACTACTACTACCACCACCACCCCACTATCACCACCACCCCTACTACTACTACTACTACTACTACTACTACTACTACTACTACTACTACCACTACTACTACTACCACTACTACTACTACTACTACTACTACTACTACTACTACTACTACTACTACGACTACTACTACTACTACTACTACTACTACTACTACTACTACCACCACCACCCCACTATCACCACCACCCCTACTACTACTACTACTACTACTACTACTACTACTACTACTACTACGACTACTACTACTACCACTACTACTACTACTACCACTACTACTACTACTACGACTACTACTACTACCACTACTACTACTACCACCACCACCCCTACTACTACTACTACTACTACTACTACTACTACTACTACTACTACTACTACTACGACTACTACTACTACCACTACTACTACTACTACCACTACTACTACTACTACCACTACTACTACTACCACTACTACTACTACTACCACCACCACCCCTACTACTACTACTACTACTACTACTACTACTACTACTACTACTACTACTACTACGACTACTACTACTACTACTACTACTACTACTACTACTACTACTACCACTACTACTACTACTACGACTACTACTACTACCACTACTACTACTACTACTACTACTACTACGACTACTACTACTACCACTACTACTACTACGACTACTACTACTACCACTACTACTACTACTACTACCACTACTACTACTACCACCACCCCACTATCACCACCACCCCTACTACTTCTATTACTACTTCTTCTACTCACAACTACCACCCCTACTTTCACTATACTAATACTAATACTACTACCCTACTGCTGCCGCTAATTTATTATCACAACAACGTTTACAACTAATGATAATTACCATGATTAATCACACACAAAAAATATGTTATATACTAGACTTTA